AGAAACAGGAACTATTAGGAAGCACTTCCAAGTGAAATGCTTTCTGCTACATCTGCATGTGCTACACAGCATGACACAGGGTTTGCTTGGCTTTCAAAGTGCTCAGCTTCCAACCCCCACAGCCCCTCACAGGGGAAGAGCAAGGCAAACAGGCAATGAATGCTTTCCTGTGCTGTTGGTCACTGTCAGGGCTGGAGAGAGGAAGAATCCTTGCAATGCCTCTCAGCCTGTGATTTGGTTTCAGCAGAGGAGCACGTCCTTGGCAACCTCTGGAGGTGGACAGCCGTGCAGAGAATTGTTCTCTCTAGCTCCAAAGGTGGAGAGAACTATTCCTTGCACAGCACTCTGCCTCCAGTAGAGAACTCATCAGTTGCCTGCTCTGCTCTTTTCCCCACTGCATCACATCCTTGTTGGAAAGCATGCCACTGCATGCTCACGGTGATATGCAGGAATCCTAGCCCTCCCACTCCCCCCAGCCCTGCTGGTGCCCCTCACCCCACTGGCCCCCCCCCACACTGCCCTGTTGATGCCCCTCACCCACCACCCACAGCTCCTGCTTCCCTCATCCTGCTAGAGGGGGCTCCCAGCTGCCAGGGCTACGGGGCTAGGGACCCAGGTCTATAGCCCCCTGCTCCTAGCGGGAGGCAGAGGCTGCTGCAATGAAACAGAGCCCAGCTCCCACCCTGATGCCTGCCTGCTGTGGACTTGGGCGGGGGGGAGCTGCTCCCGCCACTGTGTGCGCTCCCAGGGGTTGGGGGGGGGATCTGTGCCTGCCATGTGTGTGCAAGGTGGTGGCTGCGCATTACCTGTTGCAGGTTCCCACCTTACTACTGTCCCCTAGTGCTTCTGCAGCCCAGCGTGTGTGACCCAGTGATACAGGGAACAGCAGAGCTGCGCAGGAAGCTGCCTGCCACCGTAAGCTCTGCACTGCTCACAGCAGCAGGCAGCTTCTTGCGCGGTTCCTGAACAGACTAATTTTCTGTGAAGCAAAGTGTCACTGTCTACATGTACGCAACAATTAGGGCACAGTAAACTAATATACTCTGCTGCTGGACAGTCCCAAGTGGTATCCAGCATTGCAAAAAATTACTGCGCTTAAATGCACATGTAGACAGTGATGTCAGGATTAGATAGGTATATCCAGTCACATTAATTGCATGTGTAGATGCTGAATCAGAGATGCATAAGCTTTTGCAAGTAAAACCTCACTTTATCCACAGTGTCTGCTGAAGTGAGGCCTTGCTCATGAAAGCTTAAGCATCTCTGATTCAGTTAGTTTATAAGTTGCACCTCTACACTGCCTTCTACCTAAAGACACAATGCAATGACTTGCTAGTTCAGGACAACAATGTCTTTCTTGACCAACATATTTTTTTCAGAATCTCTCTCTCCTCAGTTGCAATGAATCCAAAAGGTGCCTCACATAAAAACTGCAGTTCCAAATGTTCCAAAATGATCACATTATATGTCATTCTCCCTACACAATAGGTAGCCATAGATGCAGGTAGCCATGGACTGGAGCTTGCATTTTACCTGTATAATGACCACAGTACATTTCTTATGAAGATTGGCAGGGTTTTTATGTTCTCCATCAGGGTCAGTATTCACCCACAGAATAAGATAACGCACTTTGTTTTTGAAAGGCAGAATGAAGAAAACAAAAGATCCTTTCTTGTAGTAAGTAACCGAGTAGCACCAGCTAGGGAGCTGAGCCAGCTTGTTGTTCAGCTCCCTATGGATCATGTACAGACTTTGCTTTCACTTTTGCTGGGCCAAACCCTAAGCAACAGAAACTGCTTTTGCTGTATTTCCTTGTATATAATGCAAACTGCAATTTCCAGCAGGCTTTTTTGAAAAAAAAGAAAAAAGGTATGTGGTATGTGTAAGAAAATAAGGTTATTAAAACAACTTCTATTGGACAAAAGCGATTAAACACAGACAACTGTTAGAAAACTGGGATTCACGTTAAAAGGATACAAATGCATTACACCAGCAATACCACATAGGCAGCTCTCTGAACCACAAATAAGCATTTAAATGAGCAAGCTCTTTTTCAGATGTACAAAGTTTCTTACCAGCTTCTTGTAGCTTCTTCTCAATTTGGCTGCCAAACTCAGACTTTAAAGGGAGGCCACTGACACTCTTACTTCTATATAGATCAGATGTTTCTGCAATGACTCTTTGGAGCCCAGGTGCTGTTTTTGTTAGCAGGACTCCCTGGATGTGTCTCTTGTGTGCACCACTCACTTCCCTTTCCATTTTGTGTTGTTTACACGGAGCAGGCTCACAGGATGTTAAAATTTACCCATCAAGACCATGGTTTCTAAACCTCTCAGGACTTGATGTACTTTAATGAAGAAGAAAAAAATCTTGACATGTACAAGATTCAGCACCTGATATTGTACCACGTTGTGGCATCATTCGTAAGAGCCAAAGTAACTGTCCCTCCCACTTGAAAGCTTTATATGTCTACATCATCAATATGTCACAAGAGTGCTGTTAAAGGACCATAACAATGTCTCTCCATCACTGAAACAACTGCTCCCCACATACTCCAAAAATGCAGGCTAAAGCCATGTGCACTGCTTTAAGAAGAGCTTGTTTCTCAGATATGAAGTTTTGCAGCCACACAGCTCTAAGGAGTGATGATGGTCATGCAGGATTTTGTCGTCATTTCTTTTATAGAAGTGAGATAGTCAAGGACCTTTTTAAAACCCCATTACAAGACTGGATCCTTTCTGGTGCACTGGACATTAATACTAGAAAATGAGCGCATGCATATGTTCTTTACCTAGGATTCCTGGAGTTATTAGCAGACTGGATCATGAATGTATTACTTTGTTTTTCTGTTTAAAAAATTATTTGCATCTCTGAGCAAGGATACAGCACCAGGATGCTAGTGTGAGAGAAGATAAAATTGCCCATTCTTACAAATTGTTCAGCATTACTCTGAGTTTTTAATCCTAGAAAATTGGAAAGAAGACAAACAGGTGACCTAAATGTTTCCCAGATTGTTTTGTGTGTTTGATTATCAGGTTATCAAGCAAACATTTGTGGCCAACCTCAAAAGTATTACACAAGGTAGCCAGAAGGTAGATGTTAATGCAAAAGAGCAGCTACAAAAGCTTTGCGTTTAATGTGCACTTCTCAACATTACTAATGCTAAAGATAGCTTACATTTTACAGTGAACATTTGGCTTTATAAAGTTTTATTTGTTAGGTTTCAAAACATGGCTGCATGAGCTTAGAAGAGCTTTCAGAGAATCAGCAAGTAGATGGGAAAGAATGACTGGCTACCCCCTCATTTGCTGTAGGTTACAAAGCTGCCATTGTTCAGGTTCATAAGGGATTCTAGAACTCAAGGGTTCTAGTCATGACCGGCGTTTGGAAGGGACCCGAGGACATTCGAACGTGGGAACTTGAAGAAGGGTGTATATTGTGCCCTGATTTATCTCCAGGGAAGTAAGAGCTGGTCTTTACCTAAAATGCAGACTTAGATCTGGATCTCCATATGTTAAGATAAGAAGTCTCCTAAAGACTGCTTTAATCCAGGCCTCTATCAGCCACACTCATTTCCAACTGTTTTATAGCTAGTCACTCTTAGGACATTCATTTGCACTTTTTTGATTCTTCAGGATTCGCCATCCATCTTTGACAGTAGGGCATTACAGAGAGAAGAGGAAAGACTAAGAAAGAGGATATGGGTCAGAAAGCCTGTCCCACCTCCTCTTGCCTTTCACTGGCCAACCTTGGTAGGCTGGAGGAGGGAGGGCAAACAGCATGATAAACAACTAGGTGCGAGTATCATGGCATGAAATAAAGCCATGGCAACAGGTCTGGGAAGCCAAACAGGGACCAGGAAATTCTGAAGCCACCTCAGAACAAAGATGGTGGTAGAGTAGAAGGGAGTCGAATCAACTCTGCCCATGTTCCTTGGTGCAGAAACTTAAAAGGTGCTGCTTATTCAGAGCTCTCAGGACTGAAGTTCCAGTTAAGTTCTGCATTCTTGCTGTCTAAGTAGAGGATCTGAGAGATTACAGCAATTTTACACAGAAATACAGTGGCAACAAATCACTAGACACCTGCAATGCAATCTTTTTCTTTCTTCTGCTGAATGGCAGAGATTTTGGTGTACCTGCCAAGACCACTACTGCACCATTCAGCTACAGAGTATTTGCTAATAGCTCTTCAGAAGAGGAGATTGGGTCTGTTGTACTGAGTGGTGGTTTCTTGAGCACCAGCTGGACTACTGCATGCATCCGGGTGTTCAGATTGTTTTCTAATTTCCATGCCAGATCCACCAATGGAATTGCAGTACTTACAGCTCAGCAAAGAAAGTCCTGTAGATTATACTCAATTCATAGAAATAGAGTTAATCAAATGCCAACAGGAATTAACTAGTTGTTTTGAAGGTGAATGTTAGAACAAACACGTGTTTAACAGATCGAATTTTTAAAAACATCACTGGCACGGAGTGCATCTTACTGAATGTCTCGGTGCTACAACAGCCGTCTAGTCTTTTCTTTAAACTTGGATTAGAAATACACCATTTTTCAGAAATAAAACATTTCATTTAATTGGCAAGTGGAACACACATTACAAGTCATTAGTACTTTATAAACAGAATATTAAGTTACGAACACGTTAAAAATTGCAGTTCTATGGCAGCCAACAGCTGAGTCAAATTCATTTTCTGCAACACTTTACTACTTTCCCTTCTCCATTCTTCCCGGTATGAATAAGAGGACCATTGATTATCTGTTAGAAACCTGGTCTACAATATTTTCAGTCAAAACAAAGAAATCTGATTCCTAACACCAACACTAACAAACAGAACTTTCAAAATAAATTGGCCAATTTATACACTCCAAATGCAGTGCAGATACTGCTGAAGATTTATTCTGTAACACTCTAGGCAAAGATATGGATTATCTTCACATTACTCTTTTCTGGTCCAATTCAGAAACGTAAGACCCATGAACTCCATGACATTGCATGGGTTTCTGAGATATCAAAGCCATACACTTTATTGAATCAGAACCTTACAGACAAAAGGTTTATGGCATACAACTAAAAAGCATACATAAATATATATCTTATAATTAGCAGACCTTCATGTCCCTCCTTAATTACTTTTGTTGGTATTAATGAGATACACAGTTCATTCCACTTTCTCTACACACATAACATTAACCATCGTGTATGCTAACATACTGAAGTTTAAGTTACCTTTAGTAAAACTCTATTTAAAATTTAAAAACAATATTTTAAAACATGCTTGGAAAAAGTATAAAACTATACACCAAAAATAAAGTGGTGCCAGGGCAGTGTGGATTTCACCCATGAAATGTCATTCAATAGAAAAGCCATTTTCCTAGCATTAGGTTTAGGAGTCCGAGTATCTCAGTTGTTAGGTATGGTGCCCTAACACAATCCTCCTGCTGTCATTTTGAAAAATCAGAACAAATTGTTCAGTATCCCTTCAAATTGGCACTTCAGATACAGCCATTGAAATCATATTGTGACAAGACTGTATACAAATAGGATAGCATTGACATTAGTTCAGTTTTACCAACCTAACTTGTTTCAGTTAATTACAGCACCAAGGTTTAGTATCGAAGGGAGAGAAGTCTACTCAGTGTCTTTGTAGAAACAACTTTGTATCTCAAAAATATCAAGAGTACCATTCACATCTGGATTTCTATTAAAAACTGTGCATTCTTAACAAAAGTTATGCTGCTGTAAAAACAAGAGGCCTGCTCCTTGATGTACTCATGATAATACAAGCTGCAATGTGAGGGACTACACCAAAAAGGATCTTCTTCCACTTCCTTTTTAAATGTAGGCATTAAAAGCAAAGTGTTACTAAGCTTTTTCTAAGAGAGCGTAATGCAGATGTGTGGCATAATATACAAGTAACCAGGAACAAAAAACCAGTAACAAACCATTTTAGAAAATGCTGCAAACAGCAGCTTACTTGGTTTCTGTAACATGAGGGATAGTTGCAAAATGAAGTCCACGCACCTGATCATTGAACTGATCACTAGATTCCAAGAAACCAAAGCATATTTAAAAACACACGACAACAACTGCCTAGAAGGCAGAGTTCCATCATCTGTAGATAACCAGATGAATAAAGTGCATAGCAACTATTATAACAGTTCTTGGAGAGAGAATAACACACTTAGCAAGACACAGAGTTTGTAAGCTTGTGCTTGTTATCTACACTGTGCTACATGTGGTTTCCCTTTTTTAAGCTTCAGTGATTCATCCTTCAGCATCATCCTGTCACTTCCTTTACACTTCAAATGGAATGTGCTGAGATTTCGGACTGCTGCCTGATGTAGCTCTGAAAACTCTTGTCTCCAATAGGGTGTTCCCTAAAAAGGGAAAAAAGTTAAAGAAAAAGTTACATATGTGCCACCCTGCTTATTGGGAAAAAATACTGATTCTTCTAAAGTACCATATTTACTCAAATCTAAGACAACCTTCAATTTAAGATGACCCCCCGGTAACTAGATTCTATGCTTGGGAAACATACATTTATTATAATTTCCCATGTATATAATCTAATTATTATTGGAGGGTCATCTTTAATTCATTCCCATATTGCTGCAGGGGGGCAGGCAGTGGGGGGGTAAGTGATGGCGGGGCAGTCAAGCAGCTTGCCCCCTGCTTGTGTCCATCTTCCTGCCACCTCTGTCTCCTGCCTGCTGCACCCCCAACCTTGGGCCCCCCTTTCCCCTCCTCGCCTCCCCAGCCTCTGCTATCCCCTCCCCCCACCTTGACCCCACCAGTAGGCTCCATCCCTGTTCCAGCCTGAGGCCATGGTCAATGTCCTAGGAATCAGCATGGAAGAGTACCTGCTGGCATGGAGAAAAAAATAAGGGGGTGGGGGGGAAGGGGAGAGAAACCGGCAGGACAGCAGAGGTGACATGCAGGGGAAAGTGATGGGATGCAGAGGCAGTGTGGGGAGGGAGCAGGACGGGGGAAACACAGGCAACAGCTGCAGCTATGGCCACAACTCTAGGTAGGGACTGAAGCTTGAGCCACAACAGCCACTTGCCCTACTCCCCCATCACCCTCTTATTCAATTCTAAGATGAGGGGCTTCCCCCTATATTAAAGGAGGGGGCCTTATCTTATAATCGAGTAATATGGTAATAGACGTTGCAGGTTAAAGGAAACTTTACTTACAATTGAAATACACAACGTTAATTCTTAAATATTTGCATCTTCTGAGCAAATATCTGATGGGCACAGAATCACTTTTTTGTACTAGTGCTACAAAGTTTCCATTATTAATATATTTATCCTCAAACACCTGTTACCAATCATACTACCTTTTGAAAAAAAAAGTAAGCATTTTATTTGTAAACTGTTAAAAAAAAGAAATACATTAACCTTAATCAAAACCTTACATGTAGCTGTACTGCAGGATGTTTCCCACCATGAATAGTTTTGAAAACCAGGAAGTAAGCAAATGAAATACTATTTTATAGCAGTATTGCACAATCCATACTTACTGGCTTCCATATTTTGTCTTCTTGAATTTATCCCTCTTGTACTGAGCATGTTCTTGTTCTAAAGTCACAACGTCTTCTATGATTTGCTTTAGTGTTTTATACGTTTCCTTAGGGTCATCAATGACAAATGTTGAATACTCTTCCTGCTCTGGCCCATCATACACGGATTTGCTACCACAAGCCTCTGCAAAGACAAGTCATCAGGTTTACAGGAAAAGCCCCAAACCTGAAAAGGGGAGACTGTAGAAAACCATCCATCTGCAGATTACGTAAGCCAATAAATCTCATTTTGCTGACAATTAAAAACTCAAATTTTTAATATGGGTTCAACTTGCATTAGGAACTAACTATTACTGGTTAAGAAGCGAACTGCATTATGTTCACAAAAAACAACTACAAATCAAATTGTGACTTTTTTAAAAAGAGAAATGACTAAAATTGATTTACAGGGTGGGTAACTCCTAAATACGTTTTGCAATGCTATTGAAAAAGGACTGGAGAACAAAAAAAAGTTAAAATAGAATCAATACAACCCCAAACATTCACTTGTTATGCTGCTATGTGGTTGGGGGGCAGGACAACTGGCTAAAGCAACTGGTTATATGAATCTGTCAAGTGCCTTTGCTTTCAACTGTGTTTTGTTACAAAGGGGAAAATAAATCTTTCACTTTACCCCTATGTATCATTAGCTTTCTAGATTTTCTGCTGTTTCAGTCTCTGCTTCTAAACTACCATTCCTTGCTGAACTGCCTGTGTCAGAAACTTCATCCCCTTCCCATAACTGAAACTAGATGATTCTTCTGGCCATGCCAACTCAGAAGACCAGGGGGAGGGGGCATTGGGAGAGATGGGCATGAGGAGAGGCAGCTCGGAAGTGGTAGGAGATCTTAGGTTCACATAACTGCGTGGTAGCCAAAAGTGGATTAAAGGACTTTCCAGTCTGTATGTCTGACACCACTGGCTTATATCATATTATAAAATAAAGTACTATTTAAAGCTTAGCACTGCAGGGAAGGTTTCCCTGCCACACCCTGTGCTGAATTAGGATCTCTAGTTTGGCATGTTGTACTGCAGAATGCTTTTCTGGCTTGCCTAGAAGCACTAGCTTCCCCTGCTCTTGTGTCTTTGTACTTCTATCCCTCATTCCATATCTCCCCTCCACCCCACACTAACATGCATTTTCCAGTTTTCCAGCCCCATTTTGCTTTTTATTTTTAAACATTCATGGGGTCAGGTTTCACTGATACACGTAAAGCAGTTGAGGTGAAGAAACTGTTTGGATCCAGCATGCTCTATGGAACTGAATCAGAGGCATGCACATGGTTTCTAGTAATACAAAACCTTGTTCCTCCTGAAATCTCAGCTTGACTGTTGCTTCTTTACCAGATCAGTAAACTTCTAGCTAATGCACACTTTAACTTGTCAATTCAGAGCATGCAAACTAAGCTCTTCAACTATTTTAGGATTCTCTGGTTGAGACCTTATCTCAAACAACTGTTTAATATGTGCAAATAACTTTTATATAGATTATGAGCTTGCACTGTGCACCAAAAATAAGTCTCTCAACTTTTTCTGTTGCCTGAAGGCAGTTAATGAATGACGACACACTGGTACACAAACATGCGTCTGTGGAGCTGGTCTAGATTCATCTGAAGCATAAAGTAACTCAAACTAAGTAATTTTCTTATTCGGTCCCCACCTTGCATTTTCTCCAATTTTGGCAAATACAAGTTGAAGAGGGAGTAGATGCGTTCAGTTTCTCGATCTCCATCTATGTCTAGCTGTATATTTGCTGGTAGGCCACTATAAAAAAAGGACAGAAATAGGATGGTTCAAGACTAGTTTAAAAAGTCTCATGTTTCACAGCATAAAAGCAACACTTCAAACTTAACAAGCCTAAAAGCATGCATCACTCCCAGGTTCAAAAATGAGAATTCATCAAAAGGTGCTTGGCTGAGTGTCCTGGAGCTTGTAACGCTTCCTAACACAGACCTGCCTGACTGATGATAGTTCAAATTCCCTTTGCACTGCCTATTCAGTACACCTTATATTGGACTAAGAAGAGAAGACTTCGTAAGAGCACAGGTCACTTTGTTGAAACAGTGAGACAGACTGAGAAGATAGCTAAGTGTCTGTTCAAATCCTGGCTTCTAGGGCCAACAGCTACTGATCTGTTGGCTCTGTGAGGATGACAGCTGTCCTTTAGGAACTAAACTGAGACCCTCAACTGACTCCATACAGCCTATGGAAAGCCCTACAAGCGGGAATGATACTCAGTCACAATCAATTTGAACTTAGCTTGAAATGCAAGTCTAGACAGAAGTAAAAGGTTGCTATCTTCAGTCTAAATAAACTTGCAAGAAAGTACCAGAAAGTCTGTCTGAATGTGAGCCCCAAATCTTAAGTATTAAAACTGCCTACAATTCAAACACACGATACAGCATCCTGTACTGCTAGACTGCTATTGCTGCCCCATGCCCGAGAAAACAGATAATTTTGGCCAGGATCTGTAGAGAGAAATTGAGTTAGGAATGAGAAGACAATGATTTGGTTGATGTGTGACAAGTTTTTTACTGTCCAAACCCAAAAGTGCCTTGGCTGCTTGCACACTCTCATGAATATTATGCCGTTGAGAATTATTCTGCATTGATTTATCACATCCATAGCAAAATTCAGAGCAAGCAGCAGTTGACCAGTCCTTACCCAGTGCAGGGGGTACAGCCAGGAGCATTATCTGCAGTAGCCTTACAGCACAGCCAGTGCCCATTGAGGTATGCAGAAGGGTGATAAACTGTGAGGCGTTTCTTGTTGCATTGGCTAACTTTGGTGAGAATATCAATCCAGTCCTTGGCCTCAACACAGTTATTTGCCTGAATGTACAGGACTCTTTCAGGCTGAATCACTTGGAACATCTGAAAAAAGGAAGCAAGCCACAGACTGAATTATCAGCTTGTTTTAACTGAACACAACAGTCAATTTAGAAGATCAGCCAGTAAAGGAAAAAGTTTTTTAATGGCATAAACTTCCAGTGTACCAAAAGGTACAGTGCACCAGTCAGCATATTTCCTGAGGAACATGCAAGGGATTTTTTTTTTTAATTTTAGGTTACAGGACAAATCTCAAAGCAGCACCAAGTCCTATTAAACACATGCGGATCTGTGTATTGTCAGATTACATCTTTAGGTTAAACAACAAAGCCTAGCACAGCATGCAACAGGCTAGTCCTGTTCCTGCAGGAGACCATATACAAAATACTAAAATTAACTTGCTTGTTGGGCTCCAAGTAGGCTTTGCAGATGGCCTTGGAGATGCTATTTTAATAAGGCTGCAGGCTCCAGCTTTTGGAAGTCTGACAGAAAACACATGGAGTGCTGAAAGGAAATGCTGTTCAAGGGAGGACGGAGAGGTCATGTTTGGACCAGCCTTCCTGACAAATTTGCTTTAACGCTATCATACATTATTTCATCACACGCTTTGTTTGGATTTTCTTTTTATAACCATCCATGCCTAACAAATGTAGCTTCTAAAAATAACAAGAAAGAAATAGCAACTGTGTTTTCTGTGCCTACTTAGTGGTGGATTAGCTGCACAAATAATTAAGCACTTGTAGTATTTTAATGCTTAGATTAATCAAGCCTGGGTACCCATGGTGATAGATGAACAGGCCCTGCCCCAAACAGTTTACAATCTAAGAATCAAAGCCAGTGATTCAATTGTTTTTATGCCCTTCCTGCCTCATCCAAAGGCAAAGTGTCAAAGCATTTCCCTTCACCTGATTAACTGATACCTGCTAATTTGCAAAGGATTAATTGTGGTAGAAGGTAATGATTTAACTGTAGCACTGGAAAGGCAAAACAAAGTAGATTACATAATTTTTCCAAATGTCTGGCTGTCACCGGTTTTCATTTCTATTGTGTCCTCCTGAGTGTCCTCCCCACCCCCATTTAAATATGCACATCACTGTTTGTACATGGATTTGAAGAAAAACCCTTACACTATGCTGGAGAAGTAATAACACTCAGCAGATACAACTGGCCTCCTAGTATTGCTTTCTACCCCCCAGCTCCTGTGTTTTGCTTTTGTTTTTTTAAGTATAAATTCACTTTTATGCATTTCAATCAAACAAATCTTTGTCCTGAATTTAATACCTCTGAGGATCAAGAACAGAAGTCTTTTAAAGCAAGCTCCCCTGAATGTATATAGGATCACTATTTATTCCCTTTATTACACTATAAGGTATATGCCCTTGGAAACTGAGTGGGAATATACTTTCTAATTCACAAGTGGACCTTTTCACTTAAATTAAGGGAGAGGGAAAGTTGCCCTTGACTTTTTCTCTGTATTGGGTATTTTTATTCTAGTACCAGACCTCGGTCAAAATGATGCGAGATTAATAACTAGTACTGTGGTGATGTGGTAGTATCACATTTTTTTAAACTTCCCAGGATAAAACTGGTAATTTGGGGTGAAAGGAACAAAGCAGGGAACTATCTAGAGCATGCAGTTGAACCTCTTCAATGCAAAAAACTGCAGGAAAGAGAATTTTAATACTTTGCTTGGGTTAATGGAGTCCTGTACATTACAACAAAGTAACAGATTTAAGGGATATGCAGTTGCGTAAGGGGATACCAGTCCTAAGTGAACTAACACATGACAACTGTTACTGAGAAGCCAACAGTTAAGCCAAGAATTTCAAGTGATTGCAAGACCTTTTCATTCTCAAAAAACACCAGACAGCAGTTGCTCTTTAAGCAATGTTCTCAAAAGACCAAGATGGTATTTGTGTTAGGAAAAAAAAAAGCAGCACATTAACTCTGCAAAGCCAACATAATTGAAGGCTTGTCTTCATGGCAGTGTTAAGTTGAGTTACATGTCAACTGTTGGCCCTAACTCAAGTCCTGTCTACACACAAAAACCCCTTAATTCAAGCATGTATCTGATTTTAACTTGAATGGGCTGGTCTGTCAGGCAGGGGAAGGCTGCAGCTTAACTGTGTTCAACCCAGCAGCTGCCAACACCCTCTGTGTAGCTTGGAAATTATTTTGTAGCATGGCTTCTCACAATTAACTCATGAGGTCCAGTAAACTATGCATGGAAGACATTCCCTCATGGAGCTTAAGTCTACTCCATCTTGTTACAAACACCAGCAGACAGACTGAGAAATGCTATATTTCTCATGTTTTAAACAGGGAAATACCATTGAGTCAAGTTCAGGACTTCACTTTACTTGGCCCATCAGACAGAATACCATCACAAAAGTCCAGTATCTGGTCAAAGCCTGAACATTACGCATCTTGGTCTCAGAAGCTGAACATTACCCATCTTGGTCTCAGAAGCTGTACAACTGCAGAAATGGGGAGGGACATAAGATACTAAAAGCTGAGATCCATGACAATTTCTGTATAAAAACCTGTTTTAGGTGATAAGTAGAGACAGAAGAATTAAAAACCTCTAAGGTCTGTACAGTGGGAATCACAGGACCTGACCTGGCTTTTTCCTGTTCTGCTGCCCCTATTTCAACACTCCTGAAAATCACATTTCTGGGGTTTTTTTTCACCAGACAGTATCTATGGCAGACATGAATGTAGGATGAAGTGCTTTGCTTATGTACAGGCTACAATTGTCTCGGTTGCTTTTAGTAAGTTTCTTGATTTCTTGCAAAAAAACAATATTCAGAGAAACAGATAAAATGTTACCTATGGAATATCATTCCCTCCTGGAGGTATTGCCTCATGGGGGTTAAAGATAGGATGATTAACACCTCTGTTCTTACCTAGGGGCCAAAAACTCTCTCTCAACCACTTCTCCCATGAACCTGTATGCTGTCCCCTCTGTGTGAGTAACAGGGTGCATCATGAGACTCCTTGAGTTTCATTTTCATGATTTCTATTATTTTTGTGGCAAAACTGTAGCCTCTCTTGTAAGAAATGTGGCCGTCCCATATATGAGACAGCAGAAATTTCATACCATATCGGTATGCTGGTGTATTATAAAAGTTATGTTGGTATGGGTATGGGAATACTATTCTTGCTTACACATACTATTATACTTATTGCTTCTGCATAATTTCTGTATTTTCAGAAGTTATTCTAACTGGTAGATTATTGCAAGATCACATGTTCCTTCAAAATATTTCAGTCGTTAATTTCTTCCCATGTCTCAGGTGCTAGACTGCTGAAAGGGCAGACAGTGAGGTGTCTTCACTACACCAAACTACACATAGCCTAGATTGGAGTGGGTGCTGCAGATAACTAAACCCCAGTACTGCTGACAAGGCTCCATTAAGAATCTGAATGGGCAGTACTTTTGGAAATCCATGCTACTATATACAGAACACACAGCTGTGGTTGTACATCTTTCAGTGGAAATGCAACACTGGTTACAAAAGGGAAAAAGTTGATTTGGTGGTGGCATAGGATCCAGAGAAATTAAATAAATGAAAAATGAATATGACCTACTTACGTTTTTCATTTTAAAGGACTCCTCCTCCAATTTCTCCACAGCCAGAATGTTTTCTATTGGAATGCTACACAGAGGATGATCACCTGCAGCAAACAATCACAAACAGAAGCCATATAATTGCTCACGGCTTCACTCTACCCTATCCAAAGCCCTGATTTGATTTCTAGGAAGGAGAAGGTCAGTGTGGCTGCAAAAAAGCTAGCTCAGCAGGGTTTACTAGTAGGCCTTCAAGGGCTCAGTGTTGCAGCTAAAAGCAGAGATGAAATTAAGGCAATGTGTCTTGCCAGTCAACCTCTTAAAAAAATTAAATATTCCAGCAGGGCAAAGTATTTCCTTTTAGGAAGTGGCAGAGAAGAAAATCAACTCTGGTGACAGAGGATGGTGGTGATGAGGTAAGACCTCAAAGACAAGACAGTGAGAGTTAAGTAATCTAAAAAATTACTGAGATCCTCCAGGCTCTAAGCCCTACTGCTTCCCCACCACATATGATAATTGTTCTCTATGGAACAGGTAAATCCAGTCTAGCTGGAAGGTCTCCAAATAATCTCACCTACTAGTAAGAATATTAATGAACAAATATTTGCAAATTCAAAGCATGTGTTCAAGCCCTGAGCTGCTCCAGTCACTTGAACAAATGGACCTAATTAACAAAAGACAGTAAAGAGAAACTTGCTTTCAGGAATCCAGTAAATGAGTGATAATGAAAGCAAAAATAAGAGAATTAATCTATTTGTTCTCAGAAGAACAAAACATAAAACAAAAGCCCAACAAAAACAAAACAACAAGATAACAAATGAAAACCAACAGTACTCCAGTAGTTGCATGTAAATAATTAATCTGCATCCAGTACATTTAAAACATTTAACTTTATCTGAGTGAAATATCAAACACCAACAAATGAGGAAATTCTGTGAACTGCAGTTGGATTTCTTCCACAAGGCTAAATTTGTGTATAGTGGCCATGGGTAGTATTTCTCCCCCCCCCCGCATGAAAAGCAATTTATATTCATTTATTCCTTTAACAAGGGTAGGGTGTGTAACAAAGCTGAACAACCACTGCAGAGTCTGAGAAGTTCCATTCAAACTTTTAAAACAGCCTTACTTTTGAGTACTAATCCTGTATTCAAAATTTTATCTATAAATTAATGCTCCCATATCAAGTTTGCCAGACTTGAGATAGAAGAATGCAAATCAAAATCTAGCCCTTAACTTGTCTGTTACACAAGTGCACATACACACAGCATATGTTAACAGAGAAGATACTTTAGAGATTTAATCAATAAATGTACCCCAACAAGCACAGTGCTTTAATTAGGAGGTGTCACGGATATGGCCTGCAGCTTGGATTTGACCCATGGAGCCCTATCATCCAGCCCCCAGTGCTGCCCGTGTGTCTCAGAGTTGATTTACAGGCAGCATGTGGGCTATGCTGGATGGGTCCATAAACAGTGCTCAGTCCAGCTTGTCTTGGAGTGGTGGAGCCCACCATATGCAGCACAGCCTTGGAGCATTCACGGCAGCACCTCACAATATATGGCACCCACTCCAGGACACATGGTAGATCTAGCATGCAGGGCTGGCCTGTGGGTACAATGCAGTCCATGTATGGACCCCGTACCACTCATCCAGCCCATGGAACTGGATGAGTTTGCCGCCTTGACTTTAATTCATACAGTTCAGTTCACTGCATCTGCCCTTTATCAAATGATTGATATTAAGAACAGAGAGAAAAGGAAGTGAAGGGGAATGTGAACTTAAATTCACTGTATCTGCTCAAAAACAATGCACAGACAAACTATTTTCTATAGATGCAGACACAGAGGAAGAATCTTTCTTTTTAAATATACTGTAAGTAGTAGTTTATGATGAACCCTTTCAATAGTATTCTTTCAATTCTAACACAATCATTTACCTTTTAATCCCTGCTTTTATCAACATAAAAGTTAGAAAGTGGAGAGGCAAACCTTTGTTACCTTTACTTTTCTGATAGGTAAATTCATGGTTAGTCAAGCGGAACCATCTCTTCTTGAAGTTTTTCATACCAAAGCGTTTTCTACCTTGGGCTCTTTTGATCATGAACCTGTTGCAAATGAGATAACAGTTTGTACATAAATGCACTGTATAACAATATCCCATTGTCAAATCCAAGAAAACACACACAATACCTGCAACATGTGGGGCTTTATCTTGACTAGAAAGAATGGGCAAGGTTTTATAGGCTTAAAGGCTAGGTACAGACATTCAAAAAGTCTGAGGCAGAATTAATCTAAGTTACGCAGTTTTCTGTAAGTGATGTAGTTTAGATTGGTAATTCGCCAATCTAACATACACTCACGCTTTGGTTGTAGTGGGGGGAGCAAATGTTAGAGCAGGTTCCACCATTTTTAAACCAGTTTCTGGGCATGTCTACACGTGCTTAATGTTATTAGTTCAGCCTGTCCTTTTTTTGCTAGGCTCAATGCAGTGGAAGACCTTTCTCTTGATGCACAACTTAAACAGGAAGTTGATTTAACTGGGTGACTTGCACTTTAGATTCTTGCCTAGACTGCCACTTAATTGGTTAAAAAAAATCCAGCGAGAGGTGCTACCTTGTATCTAGGCTAAGAAAAAGGGCTAAAGTTGGCTAGCTCATGTTCACTAAGCCTGACCTAATGCTATTGCTTTTCCTATGCAAGACAGATCCTTAGAGGCTTTACACAGTTGCTAAAATGAATAGAGCCTCTTTAGTGCAGGGATTGTCCTGATGTGCTATAATCACTCCCATGATCTAGTAATATAAAACTCTGAATGCTGTGTAACACTTTCCAATTAACAGACTAGTGCTGCAGTCAAGAAATCTGCATTTTCTATCACAATGCAAATTAATCTGTTAGAAGTTGCTAGCTTTTCCATTTATCAAGTTGCTCTTTGTAATCTCAGGTAGAAATTAATTTAACAAAGAACTATCTTATAATTCCTGCATGCCTAACTGCTAAATTAACACACAGGTTACAAGGTAGCTTGGACATTCTGACAGCAATTTCACAATGCTCTACATAACCATTAGTGAAAAATACGAATGAGAGAGGGAGTGTTTCATAAATAGCTACTTTACATATCATACCAGTGGATTCATTACCACAGTGTATTAAATTGGGTAGGATATCAGAGAAAGTAAAAACTACTTGCTATAAAAGTAGTTTTTAAATCAGCA